AACAAGAGGAAATTAAATGGCTATTCTAGACCCCATACTACCCTCAGTCAAATGGAATGGTAGAAAGGGCTAATGGCTTATTGAAAAGGAATCTCATGGGGCTCAATGGGATCTGAGACTTCCCAAAGTACTCCATCAATTAAGTAATCAATATGGGCCCACTGGGAAGCCCTGTAAGCCAAGCATTCTTTGTAAAAACTGAGCTTAGCGCCCCACTTACTGGGAAAAGAGAATATCTGATGACATTACAGCCAGGACAGCCTGTGATGGTCAATCCATCGGTATTGTGCCTATGACTTTTTAACTAAGCCTCTTGGCCCACTTGCCTGGGAAGCTACTGATAGCAGTGGTGTAAACCATAGAATTAGTGCAAGATGGATTTTTTCCTTCTTTTTAACAGAGAGTAACCTGTTTGGACTCTCCACAACAACGAGTGATTTAAACAAATTAGAATACCATTGCAGTCTTCTCTGTTAGCATTGGGAACTAACCAATGGCTCTTATATGATGTATTGCCTCAGTGGGAAAGAATTAATTAGAGACCACCAGTTGATTATGGATGCACTTGTGCAGCACAAAGTAATGTTTCTCTAGCTCTTAGTTGTATCCAAGCTCAACTGTGGATGCAATCTATGGTAGCAGCAATTACAAGAGAAGGTGAAGATGGCACCTTACCCACTGAAATCGGAAAGGTAATTTGAGCTAATGCAACTAAATTTGAAAAGGAATTCCAATCCTAGTGGTAATTAGTCAGTTTTACTTATGAACCCATCAACAAGGCCACAACTTTTGTTTTAGCAATACGCAATGCTTTGGTATATACCATATGCCCAATCATTGCGCTAGGATTGAATCACAATGGAGCTATACTCTATCCCTCAGAACATAGAGCACGGGCCCAACGAAATGAAAACAAATGGCAAACTATTGATGTTAAATGTATGTGTTGTATGGGAACAACAAGGATTTATTTGTGAGAGTAACACCATCAAAGCCCAAAACATTTGTCTTGACACTGAACAAAATGTCATTGTGAACTACATGCCGATGAACCCCCTGAAACTGTACTTGTATATACTGGAAAAGGATGTGTTTGTATGAGAACCCTTTGTGATTTTATATTTGTAGATAACATTACTGTAGATACAAGCAATCACTCAAATATTTGTGTTTGTAACTCTACTAAAATTATGGGATGGAACTTTAATTATTTAGCTCCTGTTAGGTCTTATCAATTGTTACAATCTAATTATACATTGAGTCAAGATTTATTGCCTACCCCCATCAGAATGAATCTCACATTGGCGAAGAAACTACTACAACACGATGACCTGCGTCAACTGCTATAACACATCCAAAGCAATGGACAAAACCCCTAATCACCATTCATCATGATACAGAAGAGACACACCATGTCTTGGAAAGAATGAAGAAGGATGGAGAACACCATTGGTGGGAAACTCTTGTGGGTGAGACCTCAGGACTGAGCTACTGAGACTCTTTGACACCACACAGTCAACCTGCACTGGTATCATTTTCTCTTGTTGGTGCTGCAAAGAAATACAAAGTCTTTAGCTCTGTCACAGGTATTAAAAGGAGTCCTATCAATTAGTCTCTGAGTTAGTGAAGGAAAACTCGTTGGTTTTTCATTTCAGTTTGTTTTTTCATTAGTGCTGTGATGATAGAATTATTTCTCATCTCACACTCCAGTGCAACGTGTGCTTGCTGTGTCTGTGGAGACTGTGTGGGCCCACCAGACGAACTCACAGGACACAGCTGAATTCCTGCATATACAAACTGTGATCTTCTTGCGAAGCCCAACCTCACTTCCAGAGATCATACAATTTCTTTTTCCTCTTGAGCTCCACGCAGAGTTCCCTGTTCAGCCAAGCTGGTCTTCTGCCCTGCTTGCTTGACTTACGAGAGAGTGGAATTGCCTGCTCCTGTGCTTCCAAAAGGTGGTTCTTGCAGCCAGCACTCGTGGACTCCTAAGCCCTCAAAAGCAGATTCCCAGGGTACTCTGCTAAATAGCTCCCTGAATAGCTTAAAGTTTGCTCTCCTGAAGTCCAGAGTAGCAACTC